TTTTTTTTTTCTAAGATTACCACTAACAGTAACAGTAACCATAGTTAAAATAAGCCAAAGAAAACTGCTGGTTGTTGTTATTTTTTTTTTTGCAGATACCTATCAGATACGTATTCATTGTCTGCAGATATAATTCTTTCAAACAAATTTTGCAGCAATAAAAATATTTATAATTGTTTATTTTGCAAACGTTATATAAATAATGGCACAAATTCACATGTAAATTATTTCGGTTTATTTTATTGAAGTATCAAAAGAAAAAAAAAAAGGGAAGAAAGAGATTATAAAACTTATTTGCTATGTCGACAACAACAACAAAAAAAAAAGTGTGGAATTTTTTTTTTCAATCTAATTGTCTAGCTTTTATTTTATTTTTAAACTTATTCTTAGTCTATATCAAATTATTTTATCTTTTCAAAACTTTTACAGATAAATAAAATTATATTAACTGTTTGTTATTTGTTGTCTACATTGGCACTAAGGAAGTTCAAAAGTTCAATAGGCCAAACAACATTTGTTGCACTAAAATTGTTTTTATAAAATTTGGTAGTCTAAAAATTAATTAGTTGTCAGCAATACACTAAGTGCATTCGCGGTTAACCAAAACATAGACTTATTATTGAGCACAAAACTAAGTGCTGCTTTTCTTTACAAGATTTTTTTCGTCCTCGTCTTCTTCTTCTTCTTCTTCTTCTTCTTCTCCTTCTTCCTCTCCTTCATCTCATTATTTGAGGTGCAACGAGAGCGGAACAGAGAGATAAGAAAAATGACAGCAAAGCAAAAATTTTTACATACTTGAGAGCATTTCTGTGTTGATACATCATTACTTTCGATATCGGCCAAAGCGATTATGGCTGTCTGTTGTTGCCGGTCTATTCCTCTTCTTTTTCTTCTTCTTCTCACTATTCTATTTCAGACATTTACCACCGTTTCATTGAATATCATTAAACCGCTGTCATACATAAATGATGCAAATACTGAAAAATTATTAAACTTTGATGACAGGGTTAAGGTAAATTAAATCGTTATTATTTTACCTTTTTTTTTCCTTTCTTTTTTCTTCTTGCTTTTTAACAGTTATAACTGCCAATCAATATAGCCTGTAAATTAGATGATTTATCCACTGTTTTTTTTGCTGTACAAGTTCTGCCTAGACATACCAATCATTTGTACATCAGTGCTTAGTGTTTCATTGTTTAACAACAGCCCAAACTGCTCTAATAAGGGTATTTTCTGAACAGCAATCAAATTATTTGAAACAATTTAAAAGCAGAAATTTAAATTAACTTGAAATTAAAGATTTTAAGCGAACAACTTTAACTATGGTGAACATTTAGAGTTACGGTAGTGCTGTTTAGGTGATAACAAAATTGGATGCACCAAAAGATGATTTTTATACCTACCTGAGCATCTGTGGCCAGACTAGCAAGTTAAATGGCTTTACATTACATCCAGAAAACGGAAAGAAATGTACTGCCAATCAAGCACAAGTGGCTCTTGGTCGGTACAGAAATGCAGTAAATGAAACCGGGTATATAACAGTATTATGTTGCTTAACATACGGCTCAGTAAAAACGATATTACATTAATCAGTAGGCATTTGTAGATGGGGTATTCTAGAAATAGAAACCTATGCTGGTGGATATGGCCTTGAAGTTCAGGCTTATGCAGCAGGACTTGCTGAGGGTAAGCAAAAATTTTGCCATTTTTTTACACTCAAATTTATTTATCAGGAAGGAAATTTTATTTATTCTTTTATCAAATATAGAAGCTGAAGAATCTGCTATCACTAACAAAATACAGTAGAAGACCTCTGTAAAGAAAGTGAAAGTTTATTCAACTGAACAGAGGAACTGAACACAGACAGTGCTGACAGTTTTCAAATTGTTCATTACATCATTGATTATATATTTTGTATTACTGTGAAAAAAAATCAAGTGTAAGTCTACGTACTGATTTTGACATTCTTTTATTTAGGCATCTTAACCAAACAACAAATTTACTATCACTATCGAAACACGGTGGAGGACCTCTGTAAAGAAAGCGAAAGCTACTGCGAACGACTATATGACTACCTGAAAGAAAATATGGATTGGATTCAGAAGACAGTTCAGAAAAAGGCTAAGTATGACCGCTACTGGAGACAAGTAAGTGGATCTGATTATTCTGCGAAAGTGCAATACTGACCACAGAAATTAAGTGTAAATTAAAAATGAAATGGTGAAGAAAAGTGGTAGAACTAAAAAAACTTGAAAAGGACTTAGAGTAAGTCCTGATACCGTACCTAACGACTGTTTCAGGTGAATTTTGTTTTTACCCAGTTAAATGGTCTGTATGAAGGTTATATGAACGGCAGCACTGCGACCTTTATTCCTTCTACCAGATTTGAAATTCATCCTATATAGTAAGTTCAGTTTTTGCTTTAAATTTTCTCAACTTTAATCTCCAATCTGCTGCTGGCTTTGTCTACTGCTATTTCATGATCTTGAAGTAGTAATTCAACCAAATATATTTTTTACTAATGATGATTTCTGTGTGAACGCTATTTCTGAATAACATTTCGCTGTTTGGCCGATTCAGAAATATGACTTGAATTAATTTTTTAAAGGTGCTGTATTTCAGCGTAATTCAACTATCTGGAGAACTTATTGATCTTGGCAAGTATTTCAATAAAACCAAAAATTATATGGATGATCCAGAACCTGGACGATGTTCTGGGTTCGTGAAAGTAGCTCCCGATAACCAAGACTTATTTTTCTCACATGTAGCGATGTCTGGATACAATACAATGAATCGCATCTTGAAACTTTACAAATTTGACTTTGGTTAGCTTCTTTCAACAATCTATACTCAAAGTTAACTTAGGCCGATACTGGACCAAGTCTGGATCACACCTGTTTTTTAGATAAGGATGAAATTCCTGGATACGCAGTGTCATTTTCTGGTTATGCTGGTGCTCTTGCATCTGCTGACGATTATGTACTTATAAGCTCAGGGCTGGTCAGCCTTTGTTTTTTATAGTTGAAAAAGAAAAGAAACGAATACATGATAAGTGTTATCAACGCTGACATATTTACGAAGAAATAATTTTTTTTTGAAAACATTGTATCCCTTTATATTGATAGTTGAAAGAAACCTTTTCGTATAATACTATTTTGGTCCTTATTAGTTGTTTTCCTTAGAACGGCTTTACTGATTTTCCGTCTTGTGAAAACTGTGTCAGAAAGGAGGTATTCTTAAAAAAACTAGAATTTGTTCAA